CTCTCCCGAGAGCACCGATTCTGTTCCCCGATATCTCCAATTTGTTAATTCACGCGTCATTACAGAATTAACGCCGAGTAATCTCGGCGAGTCGGCACATGATAAATAAAATTTACGTCAGAGTTGTACACGCGCTCTCTTGTTGTTACATAATTATTCACGCCAGCAAGCCCGTCGATACCAGTGCCTACTTTTGCACAACTCTCTTCTTCTCTCTTCTCTCTTTTCTCTCTCTCTCTCTATCTCTACCCTCTCCTCTCTCTTACTCTATCTCTCAAATTTCAAGCTCCCTCGCGGAAATTCCCCAGGAAGACTCTCGCGTGGCTGTCTCGTCTACGTTGCTGCTGGATATTAAAGCCTCCTTTGTACAATCAGGTGTATTACACCGGATGGTATTATATTGCTCCCGTAGGCGCGCACTCCGTCGAGCTTAACCACTTCAAAAGCCGCTCGGTCAATAACCCGGTATCGCTATCAAACTCCGAACGTCTGCCGTGATTATTGTTTCTTTTTTTTTACCCATGTGCAATGAGATTCCATCGATATTGGGAATTGTAGATGGGCCAGGCTCGGAACTCGCGCAGGTTAGATTTGGGAAGTGCCGATACTTTTTCCTTTTTCTTTGTTTTTCATTTCGCTAACAGTTTTTTCCGACCGTGAGTGTTGCATGTTCGAATCAGAGGGAAGTACTAACGTTACGTATTGTTCCGACCGCGGCGGCGCCTTGCCGTGCTCGTTACATCGTTATCGTCAGCGGCGAAGCGCAAACGGATATCCCACGTGCGAGTGAGTACTTCGCGACGAGTCTCAATTACATCCATAATTACTTCGACGACAAGGATTACGCCGGAAACTTCGGGACGGCCGGAGGTGATCAGCTATATCACTTTACCGTTTATTACGCAACCTCCCGTTTATTATGCGATTGTTACTCCACGCGGCGCGTCGCGACGTTATCCGATCGTAACTTCGCTTATTGCACGCGACACATTTCGCAACGACTGCGCGCCAGCGCGTTTTGTTCGCCAAGCGTCGCGCCAAGCTTCTTTTCCGAAACTTCGGAGTCCCTCGCCTCGACGACGACGGCACACATTTACTCTCCTGAGTCTCACCTCCGTGAGACTTCGTCTGCGTGGGTCGTCGAGCGGCCGCGAGATTTAAAAATGGTCAGCCCGGGAAATCGTCGGGCGAGCACACAGAAAGGGGGAAAACTCAGAATTGCACGTCTAGCCGGACTGTGTGTAATCCTAAACGATTGCAGCGGACCGCAATGCGAGGGCTATCGCGTTTTGCAGTTTCGGAGTCGGCGGCTAAGCCCGTTTAGCCGCGGCTCTAAGTGAGTTCCGAGTCTCCGGAGAACAATGGTATACGTAGGACCATTGCGCTGGGGCAATGTTTAGAAGAACCCAAAGGGATAGACGAGGGGTGAGCAGGAGTACGGGGTGGATGGCTGGGATTCAAGCCGGGCCACCCGGGAGGATAACCGAGCTTTTATCCATTACACCGGCATGAGCCGCGATATTGCATTCTCGTCGCTATTATCGCTTCGCATCGACGTTTCCGACCGCCGCACGAAACCCGCTGTAACGCCATTACAGTCCGCGTTGCCGCGGAACAGTCGTAACTGCCTGGCTCACCCTCTCTCTCTTTCTGGCTCTCTCTCTCTCTCTCTCTCTCTCTCTCTGTGTCTCTTTCTCTTTATCTCCTGCTCGCTGAAGGCAAGAGATGCGCTCAGCGGTGGTGGCTTCATCCAGCCGGACATAGCGTTGCTCTCCGATGTCGTCCGAGCGGTAACGGAGCTGCAGTCCCTTCCGAGATCGGGCGTATTATCGAAGCAGCTTGGCGGAGTATTAGCAGTGCCGGCAGCGGCCGTGTAAATCCGCGTGTCTCGTATTTCGACAAACAGAGAGGGATTTCCGAAGGCGAGTTCCGGCTTTTCCTTCTGTTTTATTTTCGTTTCCTTTTTTTCTTTGTCGCTCGGAATTATCGCAAAAAGCGTGGCGTCTCGAGTCCCGCGTCGAGGTGGTTGTCGCGAGGAACAACTGTTTCCCCCCCCCCCCTTCTCTGTTTATTTTTATCTACTTTATTTCTATTCACTTTTACACTTGTGGCCTTATACGAACGCTTATAGACTCACTCGCTTGAGCGTGTTTCGTGTGTTCGTTACATAAGCGAGCCACGTCATTCGAAAACAGGCATTCGCTTCGATTCCACTAGAATATTTAAGGTTCTCTCCGGAGCTCCTGACTATCGGGCAAAACTGATAGACGGTTTGTGGGTATCTTTGGAGAGGAGGAATTAGCATAGGTACATAATAAATGCACGGGGTTAGTTTTTAGTGCGGGTTGAAGTAAAATTTAACGAGGATTATTACTGCTATGCCGATCTGCCGGCGGGATCTATTAATTTTTCCATTCCCCGGTCAGAATTACATGTGTTCTCCCTCTAAAGAATTCTTTCAGAAGAACGAAATGCGTCACGAGCATCCTGTTTAATCTTTCGCGTACAATCTGGGCCTGTCAGATCCGAGCAACTTTGAACTACTGAAACTTTGTTGAAAATCAATATTTTTAGACATATTTTTTCCAAAGAGACACTAAAAAAAGAAATGATTGACCTAATTAAAATTATAGTTATTTTTCGCCTCAACTATATTTTTATTGTTCCAACATGAAAATGATATTAGTAATGCACATAAAGTTATTATCATTAATATTACGCAGCATTTGGTAAAAAAAAATTATTTTCTTGATCATAATTTATAATAATTATTTCTCTATGTGATTATAGTTACAATTGCCAAACACTTTTTTCTAAATGTAAAAAAGTCTTAACTATACACGGAAAAAAAGAGTCCTGTGTCACACATAATTCTGATTATGCCGACCAAACTCGATATTAAATCTGGTTAACACAAATAAATTCATGTGTTGACCAAACGAATTCAATATTGAATCTAGTCAACACAATCGATTTACGTGTGGACTAATCGATTTATGTATTGCTTTTTCTGTGTAAGATAGTAGCGCGATAAAATCAAAATCTGCAAGCAGATTTCAAAATCATTTCAGATGCAAGCGCTATTTCAAAATCTTTCTGAATCCTTTAGTCGGTTGATCGAATATTCATTCGAGCCTCATAGACCGACATTGTACGCGGAGGGTTGAATTCATCACTGCGTTTCGAAAGTCGTCTATCTCGATGGAATCTCCTCTACCTAATAGGGGAAAGAATATACGCCAGGAACTTTAATTATAGCAGTTTATCACGAGACGCGGCATAAAAATATATCCATCGAATAGAGATTTATTAATAACGCAACGACGACACGCTACACGCCCCACGCCGAGGGTGGATACGGACGGAAATAGAGAGAAAGAGAGAGAAAGAGAGAGAATGCGAGTCACGATTTTAATTTAACCGTATTTGTACATTATTCCGCTCGATCGCGGCCGCGTTTCGGAGTCGACTTTAGAACGCCGGTGATATACGTTCGGTTAGCAACCCACGCTCTATACTGTTCCTCGAGATTCGAGCAGCAGCGGCTCGATAGAGAGACAGGGATGACGCCGCGCGATCACGAGCGCGCGATAGAGGACGCGTCGTCGCGAGCGAACAACGAGCGGAAGAGAGCGAGGAAGAAGAGAGAGAGAGAGAGAGAGAGAGAGAGAGGGAGAGAGAAAGAGAGACGTTTGCCCAGGTATACATACCTGTCTACATAGTTACACAGCTCCGTGTATGTATGTGTACATATATATATATATACGTTGACTCGGAGAGGGCGACAGGCGCCACGATATCGATCCCACGCAATATCGCGCGCTTGAGTCCGTGTTCCACGGGCATACCGACGCCCGACGTCCCTTGTGTTCCACTTGCTGCTATATCCCGACAGACACGATTTATCGTCCGTGTCCGTGTCGATGTGCGTGCACACTGCGCGCGCTCGCGCGCGCGTATATGCGCACGTGTACACGCCCGCGCGCTCCTCATACGCACGCTTCGGACGCTCTCTCGTGACGACACGGTGTATATGTGGCGACGGCGGCGCGACGCTCTTTATTAAAACGTTTCATCAAGCCGTCGACCAGGCCGCACGCTTGTAGATTCGCCGATAGTCCACGACGCTTGTTCGATTCCGTGACCGGTGCGATCGATTGCGAGCGCCGGTGTCCACGCGGTGTCCTGGAAAAAGTAAACACCGATGAATCAGACCCGCGGTTTTCGTGCGGGAGACACCCGGGACATTGTCACCCCGTCGAAACTCGTGGGATGAGCACCCGCAGCTCTCAAGGGAGGAAAGAGTTGGACGGCTTTTTGCAAATGGAAGGCTGCCCTTTTCAGCGCGCCACACGTAACGCGAATTTTATTGATTTATTTATCTATGGTACAGCATTGAAATAAGTATTTAATTATCATGGCATTATTAGAGAATAATAAAAATTGCAAAAAACAGAGAGAAAAGAGAAAGAATACAATACGGAAAAAAAGGTTTAGTTGAATTAACCAAATATCTGGTCGAATATGAACGATCCAGAAATTCCGATTGAAGTAACCCGAATTCTGTTTAAGTCAACCAAACATCTTGTTAACTTAAACAGAATTCGGGTTACTTCAGTCGGAATTTCTGGATCATTCATAATCGACCAGATATTTGGTTAATTCAACCAAACCTTTTTTTCCGTGAAGCGTATACTTGAATTTTAAGTGTGCAGAATTTTAAGCGCGAATTTTATTTGTTCATTTATCTATGGGAAATAACATCTTTGGTGCAGTATTGAATTAGTATTTAGTTATCATGTCATTAGTAGAGAGTAATAAAAATTGCAGAAAAAGAAAGAGAAAAACTATAAGTGTGTACTTGAATAAAAATTTGAATTTTAAGCGCAGTATCAACTCTCAGATATTTAATTAGTAAAGAGGTAAACGCATTAAGAGACATTAAGAGGTTCAAGTATTCCAGAAAATTGCGAACGTATTTCCTCAGGCGATTTATAAATTTAAATCACCGGCAAGAGAAATTCGCGCGCCAAGAATTTCGTGGAATTATGATCGAGGTAATTAATTAACGGGATCAATCGAGGCAAACTGGTGATAAGAAGAGTATCGACTATACATATACATCGCTGGCGACTGCATTGGCGATTTTCTTAACACGCGACATCGTAACAAGATAGATATAATACGTACATGCCGGTCATCAACGGTCTCGCATGGGCGCCGAGCTAATCTCGATTAACGAGTGATCGCGACGGCACGATTTGACGTTGATCGTGATTAGTTGGCACGAGTAGTCGGATAATCACCGTTCCCGGACGTATGGACGTTGTTGACATGTAAGTTAATTCGTGGAGATCCGAGTGTAGAACTAGAACGTAGTGGAGTTCGAATGCAGTTCTTGCTTCCTCTCTTCTTCCTCCCCTATCTCTCTTTCTTCCTCTGTCTCTCTCTCTCTCTCTCTCTCTCTCTCTCTCTCTCTC